GGGAGACAGGGAGACGGGGGCCCTCGCAGCCCTCCTGGGGCAGGAGAGGAGAGGGGGAGCACCCACTCACACGAGACACAGCCGTGAGGGCAAGCGACTGCTGAAGCACACGGAGTTTGCAAGCCAGAGAAACACAGTGCTCCAGGACACAGAATAGAGTGTTATCACAGGCAGTCAAAGCACACCCCCCCTGAGAAGACCGCTCCCCTGCACACAACTTTCACGCTTTGGCACGCATGCACCCGCCATTCTGTGCCTAATTGGGCTTGTTACGATTATTACTGAAAAAAGTAAGAAGCATTCAGTACTTACTACTGCTTCCATATCAGAAGTGTCAGTTGGAGCAAACATAGACTGAACCATAAACTTGTGCTTACTTTTCTCATTGGGGTCATAATCGAAAGGCTGTAACATCACTGAGAAAGAAAATATTTCATTAGGAGGGTCAGAGCTGGGTTATCCGCGCCACTCGTCACGCTAGTGCTTGTCCTGTGCCCGGGAAGCTGTTGCCCGCGTCCTCTGATCTGAGCCTTCGGGCCAGCGCTGAGGGAGCCGGTGACCGCACCTTCCCCGAGCCGGTGCAGAAGGGCAGGGCTGGGTCTTCCGGCTCCCAGCTGTGCATCTCTCAATCCTCCAGCCTACCCTCGACCCTGCGGCAGGCCTCGGAGGGCAGGCGGGCGAGGCAGAAACCACAAGCCTGCTTCTGTTCCAAGCACCTTTCAGAACAGCAACAGAACAATCCGGAACATGGAAGGAACTGTTTCAGCTTCTCTCCACCCCATTTCCTCCTTGTTCATCAAGGTAAAGCTTGAAACACAAAGCTGCCACCAGAGCAGGAGGATATGCAGAGAGCACAGGAAAACCCACAGCTCACGGCCCCTGCTCCTCGCAGGCACCCGGAGGACACCCCCCACCCTCACCAGGGGTCTGTGGACCAGCAACAGCCACAGCCTCCGCTGCCCTCAGCCTCTCCCACAGGGTAGACGAGGGCCTGCCCCGCTGACGAAATGATGGCCGCTTTAAAAGCTTGTCTGCTGCAGGACTTGGGCTAAGCCCTCATCTAGTGAGGTTCCCTGAAACACAGCTCCACCTGCGGGAGAGGCCTCCTGGGGCCCTGCCTCTAGGCGGGAGCTGGCAGGGACCTGGCACCTCCACGTGGTGTTGCCAGAACGGGGCTCCGGGCTTCGGGTCAGGAGGCCGTGTGACTCTGATGCCCACTTTCTGAAGCCCAGAGAAGTGACCCGCTATGCCTGAGGTCACACTGGGGAGAGGGCAAAGCCAGGCCCCAGCGGCCTGCCAGGCGAGCCCTTGCTCCCGGCAGGCGCCCCGAAGGACCTCCTCGTCCTCGTCCTCGGTCCCTCCCGCCGGCAGTGCTCCCCGTCCCGTGCTCCTCAGTGTCCTCTGAAGCTCATCTCGACACTGCCCAAGGCCAGCACTCAAGGTCCCGGGCGGCCAGGGAAGGGCACTGTCTTCAGCCCTGGTCCACGGCTGGTCCACGCCGGGGAAACCGGAGGCCCCACAGGGGAAGCAGCCGAGACCTCTGACTCCCGGCGGCCCCTGCACCCCACTGGACACGCCCACGACAGGGACTCCGGGATCTGCACTGATGGGGAACAGAAAACGCCAGCTTCCCTCCCCCGCCTCGGGAGATGCAGGACAAAGAAGGTGCATTATGAGCTCCCCACACATCAGACCGAGAGCACCGGCCGCCCACAACACTCAGCAGAGTGCTCTGAGCTACAGGACAGAATTCAATGCACACTGAAGAGCAAACCTTGCACACACACAATGCAGCGTCTAGCCAAGGGTAACTACAATAAGGACATTTGGTCTGAACCTCAAAATCCAAACAGTGTAACCATCGGCAGAGAGAAGGAAAGCCACTTAGGAACAAGGGCCACTCTTCTCGGAATCCTATGCCTGCAGGCACAAAGGCGTGGTGCACTCTGGACAATCCGGCCCTCACTAGTGGCTTTCTTTTTAAAAACTTCTTTTTACTAGAGAAAGAGAAAGACAAAGACAGAGATAGAAACACAGAACAAGACAGAGATCTTGCAACCACTTAGTCCTCAGATAGGCTGGCCCAGACTGAAGCCAGGAGCTTAGAACTCCAGCCTGGTGTATCACGGGTGCAGGGGGCCAGGTACATGGGCCATATTCCTCTGCTTTCCCAGGCTCATCTGCAGGGAGCTGGCCCAGAAGCAGAACAGCCAGGACCCAAACGGACACTCACACGGGATGCAGGCACCGCAGGTGGCAGTGTAACCACAGTGCTGGCCTCCTCGGACACCACTGGGCTGACAAGCGCTCTCCTGTGGATGGGCCGTCACATCCCTGGGCTTGACATCTAACCTGAAGGACAAATGGCCAGACTGCAGTCAACACCACGGGCATGTGTGGAGGGCACAGCGTGTCTTCTCCGACCCCAGGACTGCAAGGAGGAAGAAACACCAAGGAGCCCATGTCTCCCGTGTGCCATGCCCGTGTCTCCCGTGTGCCGTGTCCGTGTCTCCCGTGTGCCGTGTCCGTGTCTCCCGTGTGCCGTGTCCGTGTCTCCCGTGTGCCGTGCCCGTGTCTCCCGTGTGCCGTGCCCGTGTCTCCTTGTGCCGTGCCCGTGTCTCCCGTGTGCCGTGCCCGTGTCTCCTTGTGCCGTGCCCGTGTCTCCCGTGTGCCGTGCCCGTGTCTCCTTGTGCCGTGTCCGTGTCTCCCGTGTGCCATGCCCATGTCTCCCGTGTGCCGTGCCCATGTCTCCCGTGTGCCATGCCCGTGTCTCCCGTGTGCCGTGCCCATGTCTCCCGTGTGCCGTGCCCGTGTCTCCCGTGTGCCGTGCCTGTGTCTCCCGTGTGCCGTGCCCGTGTGCCGTGCCCATGTCTCCCGTGTGCCATGCCCGTGTCTCCCATGTGCCATGCCCGTGTCTCCCGTGTGCCATGCCCATGTCTCCCGTGTGCGGTGCCTGTGTCTCCCCGTGTGCGGTGCCCGTGTCTTCCCGTGTGCTGTGCTCCTTCCAGGGTGGGACTGTGAACTCTTTTTTGGAGTCAGGACAGCCTTCACTGCTCACATTCATGTTTAAGTCAGACTGAACTTAGCTTTGAACATTTCAGGTCTTGCTCGGCTGAATCCCAGTCTCAGTCTGAGAAAGAAAAGGACCACGACTGGACCACAGCCCCAGGACGTGATCAGGGCGCAGGTGTGGTGGTGAGAGCAGCCTCAGGCGGACACGGCTTGTGCTGCAAGAAGGCGGAACACGAAGAACTGACGGCCACACAACAGGCGGCAGCCAACAAACCACTCCAGGACGCCTGCCCACTCCTGCCCCCCGCCTGCCCACTCCTGCCCCCGCCTGCGGCAGAGCAGCTGGGCACTCTGCCCAGCGCTCGCACACCGGCCCTTCCTCCTCAGCCCCCACCACGCCCACCTCCCCATCGCCAACACCTGGACGCTGCCTCCGGGGTAGAGAGGGAACCTCCCTCTCCTGGTACCATTCACAGCCCAGGGAGCACGGAAGGCCCATTCCTCTCCAGTCCCCCCACTCATCCTCGCGGCAATGCATCAGAGCTGTCCACGTCCCTTCTCCTAGACGAATGTGAGCACTCAGAAAGCCAAGTGGCCTCCTTGGGTGGCATGCTGGCATCTGACAATGAAGCCAGAACCTCCACCAGTCCCTGACTCCAGATCACATGGCCACGTCTCTGGTTCTCAAAGTGAGGTCTGCAGATGCCCACAGGTGGACCCCATGACTGTGATGGCAGTCACAGATCACACGACTGCAGGCCTTCCTGGGTGTGGACAGTGAACCAGTGGTGCCAAGCAACACGGATCAAGGCTGTGGAACTGAACGAATCTGCACTGTTCCACACTCCAACTTTTAAAATGTCAGTTTCACTTGAGAACCTCTTCGGGGCCTGTGCTGCAGCACAGTGGGTAAACGGTTGCCTGTGACGCTGGCATCCCATATGGGCACCAGTTTGAGTCCGGCCGCTTTACGTCTGATCCAGCTCCCTGCTAATGCACATGAGACAGCAGCAGCAGATGGCCCAGTGCTTGAGCCCCCGCACCCACCTGGGAGACCCCAAGGAAGCGTTTGGTTTCAGCCTGGCCCAGCTCTAGCCATTGCAGCCACCTGGAGCGTGAACCCGCATACGGGTCTCTCCCCCTCTGCCTCTCCCTCTCCCTCTGCAGCTCTGTCAAATCAGTAAGTACATCTTCGGGAAAAGCAGCAGCCTATCCCTGGGGCCGGCGGGGCGGCACGGCAAGCCACTGCCTGCTGGCACCCCACACTGACGTGTCGTGCAAGTCTGCCTGCTGCTCCAGTCCAGCTTTTCTGCTAATGTACCTGGATGGTGGCAGGCGATGGCTCCAGTACCCAGGCTCCTGCCTCCCACTTGGGACGCAGCACGTGGCTTCTAGCTTTGGCCTGGCCCAGTCCTGGCTGTTGCAGCTAATTGGGAGGACAAACCAGTGGATGGATGGAAGATCTCTCTCTTTCTTTCCCTTTCTCTCTCACTCTCTCCCTCCCCTCCGTGCACCCTCTCCTTATCTTCAACTTCCAAAGAAAAATAAATCTTAAAAAAAATTCCTGATGAAGCAATAAAGCTGTAATCTGACTACAGTTCCACCCTGACCACACGTGCTCTTAACGCCTGAAGGTGAGCAGGCCCCCTCCCGTCTCTGGGAAAGCACCTGAGGGGGCTGTGAGCTGAGCCAGGTGCTCTCCCCAAGGTACACCTTTTCCGCTTCAAAGAACCACCGACTGACAAAGCCTGGTTGTTAGGACCTGGGGACACGGCATGGGTGTTCTCAAAGATGAAGAAAACAACTTACAGCAGCTGTTGCCAATGACAAATTCACACTCTTCAGCAAAACTAATAAACATGGAAAACCTGCATCTGCCCCCAAAAGCTGTGCGTTTTCCAAAAACTTAAGACTTCCCTGCGGACATCAGTGGGGACGGCAGTAAATGACAAGTATCTGAAGCTGCATGACGAAGTATGTCAACACGTGGGAGATCCGTGCAGCTCAGGGAGTGTTTTCCAAAGGACCCACACCTGGTTCACAAAAAGCATCCCAAACACAGGAGACAGATGTGCTGTAGAGGAGACTCCACACTGCACCAGAACCTCGCAGAACCACCTGTGAGGCGCTGGTGCGCTACCACAGGGAACGTCTCCCCTCTACAGCTACTGGCTGTGATTAAACCACTTCACATACCTTCACCAAAGCAACATAGCACCATGGGATGCCAAAGCAGACGAGACGCCAAGCCATCTTCTGTAAAAACGAATGTTAAAGAAAAATGCACGCAAGTATAAAAAAAATGCCAGTCTTCTCACTACTATTTTTGAAGTTATTTTTGTATTAAAAATACTACTCTAACAGGTAACTGATTCACTACTGCCAACTTAACCAATTAACAGTC